TTAGAAAAGTCTTATCATCTGTCAAGGGAGTAACAACGGGTGTTCTTCAGGAATCAGTGCTAGGACCAGTTTTGTTTCTACTCTTTACATCGGATATAATTAAAATAATAATGTCGCATGGATTTATTGGTCATGCGTATGCAGATGACATACAAATAGTTGCTACAGGTCATCCAGAGACATTTCAGCCAGAGATTGATAAATTTGTTGGTTGTTTGATAGAAATTAAAAGTTGGATGTTAAGCAATTCCTTGAGGTTGAACCAGGGTAAAACTCAGATGCTTCCTGTCGGTACGTGGCAGCAGTTGTCAAGACTTAATATAAACTTGGTTGAAGTTGGTGACGTTGAAATATCATTTGCTTCTACAGCCTTGAATTTGGAGGTATGGTTTGATAGCAGGCTCTCGATGAAAGATCAAATAAAGTCGCTATCAATTGCAAGTATGATGCATTTCAGAAAATTGTACAAGATTCGACACTATTTGAACAGATCTAGCATGGAAACACTGGTACATGCTTTTATTACATCCAGATTAGATTATTGTAACAGTTTATACTTTAAAATACTTGACAAGTCAATAGCTGTACTTCATTCTATTCAAAATCGAGCTGCAAAACTTGTCACAAAAAATCTGAAGTTCGATCACGTGACTCTAATCTTGAATGACCTACACTGGCTAAAAATTGGAAAAAGAATATTTTTCAAAATTGCTGTCTTAACGTTTCGGTCATTACATGGTTTAGCACCACAGTATTTGGCAGACATGTTCATCAGAAAAACATCTGTGTTGGGTTTGCAGTTGAGATCAAATGACATGAACCTCCTGGTTGTGCCGACAACAAATTTACAGACCGAATCACGCAATATTGCTGTTGCTGGACCGGTGGTTTGGAACAGTCTACCGGCGTTTCTAAGAAGACCAGATATATCATTGTTTTTATTTAAAAAGGAGCTGAAGACTCATTTATTTTCGCAGATTTAACAATGTCTTAGTCTTCGTTTGATTAATATTTGGTTTTTTCATTTATTTTAGGGAGCGCTTTTGAGATTTTTTTTTGTAATTAGCGCTGTACAAATTGACTTGTAATAATAATAATAATAATATTGTTACTTTGCATATAAAGACAAAGGTTTGATTTGTACTATTTTATTTTTTATTGAATAAAAGAAGTATACACTTGAAATCTGGCTCGGCTTAATTATTTCACCTGAAATAATGCATAGACTTGCTGATAGTTAAGAGGTCGGCGTCTCTAGTCAAAAAGTAGGGCGCGAACAAACTTTCGCCCAGCCCGTGTTTTCAGACCCTGGAAGGGTCTATTGTAGAGTGGCGGATCCCGGCCAGGAAAGACTCCACCGAAGTGAAGGCTCGGGTGGATATTCGTATGCGGACGCGTTTCTGGACCGCGTGGTGCGGAATTCGAATGTCGTCCGGCAAAAATCTACAGTTTTAATTGTATATAATTTTGACATTTGCATTTTTAATTTCAACTGTTCTCTTATTTCATAATGAATGTGTATTTTTTATTTTTGGTTAGGGTGGCAATACAAGCTCGTTTGAGCTTCTGTGCCTCCTAGGTTTGTCTAAATAAAAATTGTCTAAAATAAAATAAAAAATGATATATTTATAATATATCTATCCTTTACTAAAATTTTCAGAAAATTGTAAAGAAACTTCAAATTGATTAATGCCAACCATTCGATAGAATTCATACAATGCTGTATAAAATATGGTTGTGTCTCCATTTTGGTTCAGACTGTCCTATATACAGTTATTAAAAATTTCACTGCCCAGAAACTTTAAATTTCTGCATTGTTGAGTTTGTAACTAAGTTTTTCAATTTTTAGGACAATTATTTTATCGATATTATTCAAATTATTCAAATTAATAATGAAGTTTCTAATTATTTTAGACTGTATTTTTCATAATTACATTTACATAAAAGCTTTTTTATGTAACCTATACCATCATCAGTGTAATAGATTTTGTGATACTGTTATATGTAGTTCATCTGGTATTTATAATATTTTTAGCAAAGGAACTGACTGAATAAATATTAACATTGTTGTTAAAAGTGACCAAAATCCCGCTCTAATAAATCAGAAATTTCAAAATTTAACGTACAAATTAAAAAACTATTTCAGTGCTTATAGGAAATTTCATTTCAATTAAATTCATAACAATTTAATTATTATTTTTAATACTGATATTGTTAGAGTAATTAAGTGAATATCAATCATACTTCATTAATGTTTCCAAATGAATTAGACCAATTGCATAATTTGTTTCTTCGTGTACAGAGCTACCATAATTGTTATCGTTGTTATTGGGAGTGAACTTATAACGGTCAGTAACATTAGTAGAATCAGTTTGATCGTTTGAAATTTTATTTGGAGCGCGATCAGAAAAAAAAATGGAAAACGTGATAGGATCGAACGTCATTGATGTTAACCCATTGAACTGTATATTTTCGATTTTTTCATAATTTTCCAATTCATTATCAACTGAGACCCGGACCAATACTTGACTGCTTCCTAAATATATTGACGGAGTGTGAACATCAGCTGTAAATTAATTTAAAATTTCAAATAAATGTGGTTAATCTTTAGGTGAATCATAATGAGTTTTACAATTAAATAGAAAATGTTCCATCATATGTTAATGATATGCTTAAACAAATTTTTGCTGGCTGAATAAATATTGACAGTATTGTTAAATATTAAAAGTATTCATAGACTTAAATAGTATATTTAAATACTTACCCAAGTTTTATGAGATATTTTGAATATTTAGTTATATAGCAGTATTTAGACAGTGTTCATCGACATCAAGTACAGAACCAGTTTTTAAAGAAAAAATTCAACGTTTACGGTATCTTAATGAGAAAAATAAAAATTCAAATTTTTAGACAAACACTTGAAAAGTAAATAGTTTTTTGTCAGACATAACAAGCATTGTCCTTAAGTCTTTGAACATTTTTTGAGTTCAAGTGCTTTATATTTTAACTGAATAAATGTTGACAGTGTTATTAAATAAAGTTTGTCTGATGATTTTTTCAAGACATAACTGCTTATTAAGTATAACACAAAATTATCTAATATTATCCACAGTTTAGACTAATTTTTCTTTATATAAAATCTAATCGTTCAAAGTGAAGCGAACAAATATTTGAATTCGCACACGTTCAGGCCAGGAATTTTCATTAACAATCACATCTGAAAATTTGGTGTCAACACACTACCGGAAGGAAGTGGATGGCTGCGACTTATCAATTTAAAGTGATCGACAACATCAGACGTCACACATTTTGTTAATTTTCTTTCGAGTTTTAGTTTGATTTGCAGTAATTTTTGATTTTGTAGGCGCACAAAAGCCAACACAAGTTTTACACTAAACCAAAATGAAAGCTTCATTTTTGAATTCTCTATCAGTTGATTTTATCAATTATTTTATCAAACCATTAACAGGAACAACATTTATTATCTAATTAAGTTTAAGCTATATATACATATACATTTTATAAAAAACGCTATATAAATTATCCTAAATAAAATAATAACAAACGAAACCTGAACATGTTTTTCCGTCAGCTAATAAAATCCGGCCTTTTCTGCATGAGCATTTCAATTGTTTATGATTGTCCAATTGGCAGAAATCACTACAGATTTGTTTAGCAACGCCATCCTCATTATAGTGAAAACAAGGAGACAATGCTATTTGTTTGGTTAACACAAAAAGTTAGAGTATTATTCACAATTTTTTTAATTATGGTAGAATAAATAGTTTGTTTCAGTTTTGTTGGAATGATTGATTGGACATTTTTAAATATAGAAAACAACATATAAAATACAATATTTTCGGCGAGTTAGCTCAGTCGGTAGAAGTTACACGTTGGCCTGGTTCGAAATTCAAAAACTATCATACGCCATGCGGGGTGACCAGGCTAGCCAACCCTATTTAACTCAACCCCATTTAAGCCAACCCCCTCCAATTCGACCCACATCCAACTCAACCCACATGCAAGTCAGACCACATGCAACTCAACCCACATGCAAGTCAGACCACATGCAACTCAACCCACTTTCAATTTGACCTTAATCAATCCAACCCAATTCAACTCAACCCCATTTAACTTATACCTCATTTAATTAGACCCTCATTAAACTGAACCCTTATGCAACCAAACCTTTGTTTAGCTCAACCATTGTCTAGCTCAACCCATGTTCATTTGGGCCCAATTTTTTTTACTGAATCAAAGAGTAAAAAATCCACTGTTAATTTTCCCAGTCCATTGAACCATGTGACGTGTTTTAACTTATCTGTACTGGTATAAAATTTATCGATTTTGGGTAGAGAAAAAGGTTTCAGTTAATAATCAAAAATTGGTTTTTGTCTCTTTTGCTCATTCTTGCTTCTCGTTTCTGAGGAATTATTCCATACTGGTTTCTCCTGTTTGACTACAAATCCCGTAAAGCCTTCTCAATTCTCAGCTAAGCAATTGTGATTTTAATGCAGTTGCATTTTGTCTCTCTCTGAATTGGGTTGAGAATTTTTGGAACATCAATCTTAGCCAAACAAAAGTTGTTTCATTTAAAAGACTTGGTAAGTAAATATTTCAATAGTTCATTTCATTTTTTTTTAAAAAATTTCTAAAAAATCTAATGAGACCTTAGTATTAGCTGTGAAAAATAATGTTTGTACTGTATATATGCACACATGAATTTTGAGTCATAGATCAAAGCAGATTTGACAATTGTCAAAATTACACATGCATAATTAAAATTAACTTAAAAATTACTATTCCATACAGTAAACATTTATTTAGCTTTTTCTCATTGTTTGAGTCATTATTTATTTAAAAAGTTGTAACAAGTTTTGTAAGAAAAAATATTTATTTCTTTAATCGTTTATTTCTTAAATATATAAACAAAAGTAGATTTTTTTGTAAAAATAAAAGATTTTATTTTTAAAATCCAAACAGATTCTCAAAATCAAAAAATGGCTCAATATTCCATGTACAAATCACACCAAGGTGGAAACGTTCTTGCATACAATGGTCATGAGTACCTTTACAAAAGGTCTAACCAAGATGGCTCTATTGTTTGGAGATGTCAAAAATATTTTTCATTAAAATGCCATGTTACGTTAACTACCAAAGGTCAACAAATTATAAAACAACCTAACGATCATGAACATCCTGGTGATCCTTTGAATACTCAAAAGAATAAAGTCATGTCTGACATCAAAGATGCTGCAACTAGTTCAAATGCCTCGACTAGAAATGTCCTTGCAGAACAAATGAGAGGCCTGAATAAGGATGTTATGGCAAGATTGCCCCAAAAGAGCTCCATTGAAGGAACTATTAGAAGAGAGCGGAAGAAGAATAATTTTGATCAAAGAGAACCACAGTCTTCATCTTTTCCAATTCTTCAAGAATTTACTGATCTTGTTCTTTTAGATTCAGGAGAAAATGATAACAAACGAATTTTGGTGCTAGGCGATAGAGAAATGGTCAGATACCTTGATTCGTCTGAACTGTTTCTTGGTGATGGCACATTTAAATGTGTTCCTTCATTGTTTTTTCAACTTTATACAGTTCATGCAAAAGTTGGTAGTTCTTACCCTCCATGTCTTTATTTTCTTTTACCTGACAAAACAGAGGATACCTAGGAACGAATGATTCAATATCTTAAGCAGCTTGCCCCCCTTGCCAATCCAAACCAAATATTACTGGATTTTGAGTTAGCTGCGATAAACGCTTTTAGGCATGAGTTTCCAAATGCACATATATCAGGATGTTTTTTTCACTTCTGTCAAAGTATACTGCGAAAGGTTCAATCTTTAGGCTTGAAAGGGGAATATGAGAGAGACGCACACCTCAATATGCTCATAAAGAGTTTGTGTTCCTTGGCATTTGTACCACTCAATGAGCTGACTGATGTTTTTGAGCTGCTTTGCCAACAGTTTCCAGATGGTGACGAACTGACAGCACTTTAGCTTATGTTGACCAAACTTACATAAGGGGAATTCAAATGCGTAACCGAAGAACCCCTCCAAGATTTCCCCCAGAGCTTTGGAATCGTACAAACGATGCACTAGCCTGTGCTCCAAAAACAACAAATGCTTCCGAAGGCTATCATCATGCACTGAATGCAATGTTTTCTTGTCATCATCCTGGAGTCTGGAAATTGTTTCAAGGGATCAAGAATGACATTGGAGTCCAAAGATTAGTTGCTGTTCAAACAAGGAATGGAATTGAGACAACCAGGAACAAGTATAAAGCCCTTGCTGAAACATTATCTGCCAAAGTCCAAGGTTATGGAACAGAGCCAGATAAACTAAGATATCTGAGACAAATTGCCCATCTTCAAGTAAGCTAATTTTTTCCCCAAAGAATAAGTCACGTAAAAAAGAATAGTATGGTTTTTAATTGATTGGAGGAACTTACACGTAAATATTTACTGTTTTAACTTTGTGGAGAACAAGGAGAAGTTGTTTCATAAAGTTAAAAATTGAGAATACTTTTAAAAGAAATTTTGTTAAATCACATGAACAATTTAGAATAAGAGCTTCATTAAACTTTTTAAATATGCAAAGAATATTTATGGAAATAAAGAAGTTTTAATCTTGTGATATCTCCCATCTTTCTTTTTTTGCCATATTTTTGTACTGTATAAATGTTGCATTAATTGTTTAGACACAAACAGAAAAGAGGTGTTAGGCCTTCAATGACTTTTTAAAAATGTAGAGCTGAGGATTCTGGATTTAATTTTAGACAAGATGTAATTGGGTTCAGATCCAAGCCTTGGGTTAAGATAAAGGTTGGGATAATTGTTTGTTTAGTAAAATTTGGGACAAGTTAAATGTGGGTTGACCTAAACAAAGGTTTGGTTGCATAAGGGTTCAGTTTAATGAGGGTCTAATTAAATGAGGTATAAGTTAAATGAGTTTGAGATTAATGAGGTTGAGATGCATGGGGCTGAGTTGAATGTGGTCTGACTTGCATGTGGGTTGAGTTGGATGTGGGCTGACTTGCATGTGGGTCGAGTTGGAGGGGGTTGGCTTAAATGGGGTTGAGTTAAATAGGGTTGGCTAGCCATGGAACCGCCATGCGGTGTTTGCGCATGCATACGTAATGCATAAGTACGTCGTGTGGTACAGACAGTACAGTCTTTGTGGCACGAAGGTTTAAATACTGAAATGATCTGTAAGCGAATCTGCGTATGTCAGAGCTGCATAATAAAGAACAAAAAATATTCATTTTAGCTTAATAATTTTTTAGATAAACTTACATCACAATACTTGAAAGCAATTTTTTATAAATAAATCTTTAGAGTAAAAAAACGTTACCGTTGCCGTTTTTCTTGGCAATTTTTGGCATTTTTCTTATTTTAAGCGTAGGGTTAGGGGTCGAATGATTTGCAAAGTGTCGCTTAAGATATTGAAAACTTGATTTTTGTCTCTTACAAAGTGTAACAACTTGTCAGAACTGTTTTTTGAAAATAGATTGTGTCGAAATTTGTCAATATGGAACTGGTTACTTTATTAAACTTTGTCCAATTTGCGCTTGCTGCAACTTGATTTGCGGTAAATTTTTGAGTTGTTTCTGATTCACAGTAATAAGAGTTTATAAAACTTGTTAATAGTGATTTTGCAAATATTTATTTTTCTTCAATGTTGATTATAAAATTTTAGTTTTTGTAGCAATAATCCTGTTTAACTAAGATTGTGTTGTGCTTTTTAATTTCTGACAACATATCTAGGCCAAATAGTATTTTCCATTTTGTTATCAAGTCTAAATCAAAAAATGACTTTATGTAAAAAATTAATTGAAAGACTGTTTAACAAATTCCCGATATGATGAAACAAAACCAACCTCAACCTTCGTAACAAATTTGTGCAAATGCAATGCACTGTAGTGAAGATTGTTGGCCATCTCTAAACATGTTTTTCAAAAACGTATTTATTAAGTTGAGGGGGAAATAATTAGATAAAAAAAATAAGAAAGAAGGTAGAAATACGAGTAAAATTACGGGTAGCGGTAATATTAATCTTTTTTAATAATAAACGTAACGTAGAAACTGAGAAGAATTATAATACGAATATGCTACAACTACAGATTAAGATTTTTAGCGAAACAAACCAAAGCCTGAAAAATTTAAAGTTCGTTGTCTAAAACATGTTCATTGCAATGTGTTACGTAATTGCAAGTTTTCATTAAATGTCAATATGTCTATATAATTTTTGGAAACCTTACTCAAAGAATGAGGTTGGCAGGTTATATGAAATGAAATAAAGTTATTTTATGTAAATTTGTAGTTATGCAACCTTTCATGCAGAGATAGCCATATCGTAATGCATGCCCCTGAGGACACAAACAACGGCGTTCACCTTTTGTGGAAGTTACGCATATGTCACTACAGAACGGCTTCTCAGACGTACAGATGCTGTCATGAACTGTTTGTTGAACAACTACTACTGTTAAAATATATTTCTTATGGTGGCAATATTTTCATTATAACAAGATATTTTATACTCATTAAATTGAAAATGAGAGTAGCTTAATTAATGTTTATATAAGCATTTGTTATTTGAAAGCAATGATTTAACTACATTAAACAGAATTTAAAAAATTATATTAAAATTTCACTGCACTACATTACCTGTACTGTGAACATCTTTATCAGCAGTAACTATACTTGTATACTTCACTTTATCATCCAGTGGAATGGTTTTGACAGAATCGGGTTTTGTGATATCTTGAATGAAAGCATGTTGTTGATCGCCGCTGATCCAAATCAAATGGTTGCGTAGGTATACTAAACCGCTGGGGTTGGGAGAGTGGCTGGAAAATATTTATCGATAATTTCAACGAATTTTGATTAAGCATGTAAAAATTTTGATATTGGAAAAAATTGTTCATTAGTTTGTTAATCTAATGATGTTGATATAAATGCCGAATTATTGCAGTAACTTAATATCGATTTTCAACGTTTTTCACGATTACTTTCACTAATTTAAAAGTTTTCCAATATTAATCAAGCAATATAAAACTAAATCTATGAGTACAATTATTTATCAAAAAACTCTAACGTTCTTTGACAAACCTGATGACGATTGTATTTATAATTTTTTCGGTCCAAACAATTTTTCCATCAACATTTTCGCTTGAGTTATCTTGATCATCATCGTAAAAATGTTCTATTTCTCCACTAAATATTTTGCCATTTTCAGTTTCCATCCAGCTTATTTTTCCATTTTTTACATCAATAGTTATCCCAGTGATGCAGCCTTTCCCATTTACAAAAGCTTCTGTCTTTGTCAGGGAGTTTCCACAACGTTTACCAGACAAATCGCATGAAATTAAGTTATTATTTTTGTGAAAATGAAGATCAACTTCACACTGAGAATAATAAAACCGTCTGTTTGATAAATTTAGTTGTATTAACGAACAAAATCGTTCTTAATATATAAAATTGTTACTAATACTAGCCCGAATAATATTTTTAAATAAATGAAACTTTCTGATAGTAAGAGTAAATTCTAACAATAATAGATTTGTCGAACAGAAGCATAGCATATATAAGCGATTGTAATTTTTAAAACATAACAACACACAAAAAGTTTGCACTTTTATGAAAGCATTTAACCTTCTGATTGAATCAACAACAAGTGATTGAATTGTTTGACGTCTGTTGTTTTGCAGTGAAATCAGTTCAATTTTTTTATTATTATTAAGACTTCCAACCCAAATGGATTTCTAAATAATTTCAATATTAGAATGTAAAATGTTTGCAATTAATGACACGTAAATTTGATTAAATAAGTGTTGTTTATATAAAAATTATTAAAATTTTAAAAAATGTTAAGGTGTTTAAAAAACCTTGTTCTCTATCCAGTAAATGTTTCTATTCATATAATCTACTGAAATGCTGGAGCATTTATTCAAACTATTGAAGACGTTGGTCTTATGTCTGTTATCAAACATTGTATTGTGTGTGTGTGTGTGTGTGTGTGTGTGTGTGTGTGTTTTTGACCATATTTTCTGAAATTCGGCCAAAATTGGATATTTGGCTTCGGCTTTGGCCACTGTAAGATCGAATAGCCGAAAAGTGAAACTTCGATTAAAACTTATTTGGATTCTAAAATAATATTATCTAAATATTATTAGCGGAAAACTTACTTTTGTCAGCACAGCTGTTAAAACATCTGAATTTGAACAAGAGATCTCAATAAAGAATTGTTTGATGGACATGAATTGCCTATTCTTTATTATAATAGTTTGTTTTTCATTCTAAAAAACTAAATTTTTTCAAAATTTTGGGTATTTCAGTATTCGGCAAAATAGTTGATCAACTATTTGGCCTTTAGCAAAATTCACTATTCGGTGCATCTTAAGTAAAATTCATACAATATTGTATATATATATATATATATATATATATATATAGCCATCGAGCTTCAAGCTGAAACCAAACAACATCGAGGAAATTTTTGAAGCAAACTGATGGTGGATGAACTGAAAAAGGCTGCAAAGCAACCAAAAGAAAATGAAGACATTGTCGTCCGACGAGTGGACAAGTCCAACCTATTTGTAATTTTGTAATACTGGACAAAAATGAATATTACGCCAAGTTAAGTGATATCCTAAACGACCGCACAAAGTTAAAAAAATAAGCAAACAAAGACTCTACATCAAACCTAAAAATTAAAATCAACAAAATATACGGAAACATAAAGACCCACGAGGAAAATAATTTCCTCCGCCCATTCAATTGTCACTAATCCTAACGCTAAATATCTGAACAAAATATTGTCCCCACAAGCTCCAAATGGCTAAAACCTACATTCATCTAGAGAATTTAGTAATATAAAATTAGCAACCACAATCTTACCAAACAAATAGTTTTACTTGACGCAGTATCCTTATTCACAAATAAACCCGTTCTCGACATAATTGATATCGAAATATGGCCTATACTCTTCACCATGAACACCAACGATTTTCTATTTAGTTATATTAAATTGAATAAAAATTAAAATAAAACTGTTAGTAATATTGAAAAGCTCAATCATAAACTTTCAAAAGATAAAAATTCGGTAGATTTCATTAATTATTGCATATATATTTATATACATATAATATAACATATATATATATATATATATATATATAGTTTGGAACGAGGATTTCTTTATATATATATATATATATATATATATATATATATATATATATATATATTTACAATATATTATAAATTCTACCGAATATTTGGCGTTTATATGTTTGTAGTTCGTTTTTTCGATTTTCGTTTTATTAGCTACGAACTACAAACATATTAATGCCACACATTTGGTAAAATTTATAGAATAATGTAAAAATTATGTTCTCTTACCAACACACACACACACACACACACACACACACGAAAATCTACATATATATATATATATATATATATATATATATATATATATATATATATATATATATATCTGTATTTAAGGATTTGTGGAGCGCCCCTATTGAATAACTTCAGAAGGGCTAGCATCACTCGAGAGTGTCAAAACAAATGATGTTTCAAACGTTTCTTGAAAACATGTCGGCTCATGTTGTTGAATTTTTTCAAAGTTACAGGTAATGAGTTCCAAATTTTTGCAGACGAATCAGGATATCTTCTAACGGCAGAAAATGTTGAACGTTTGCAATGTGAGGAAGCAAAACCAGCGGTGAGTCAGAATAAACAAGTTGATTAACAAGTTGATGAACATGTTAATGAACAGGTTGATAAACATGTTGCTGAACAAGTTGATGAACAAGTTGTTGAACACATAGATAAACATGTTGTTGAACATGTTGTTGGACATTGTTGAACAGGTTAATGAAAACGTTGATGAACAAGTTAATGAACGGGTAAACGAACAGGTTGATAAACAAGTTGATGAACAGCTTGACAAAGAGGTTGTTGAAGAAATTGATGAGCATGTTGATAAACGAAGGCTCGATAAACACAATATATATATAATATATAAATATATATATATATTTGTTTTGGATAGTCGTTTGGACGGTTGATATTATCGTTTCGTCAGTTAATTTTGGTGTTTTCGTCGTTAAAAGTAATCGTTTATTGATATTTTTTGGATAGATTAACATAATTAGATTTTTGAATAATTTTATATAAAATTTAATTTGTAAAATTAATTATTTTAGTGAAATTTGATAATATATTGTCTGTAAATTGCTGTCACGTGATAGGAATTTCCCTGATAGTAAGCGTAATTAATTATAATAATAAATTCAATAATGTCGTCCGGTAGTCGCTACTGTTGTACGAAGTGTACAATAAAAGTTCCAAGTAAAGATTTGTTGTCATGCACTTGTTGCAAGACTTTTGTTCACAATAAATGTGAAACTAACGATGATATTCTTGAAATTTTGAAAAGTGTTAAAGGTTTAAAATGGTTTTGTCAACGCTGTGTTGATTTGTCTCAAGATGTTAGTTCTTTGGCTAAGTCAATGGATGCGTCTAAAAATGAATTTGTTGCTCAACTAAATGAAATAAATGATAGTAACAGAAAAATAAAACTTGACGTTGATAGCATAAAAATGGTTGTTGACCATAACCAATCTAAACTTGATGAACTTGATCGTTTCAATACTGTTTTACGTGAGGAAATTAAAATTTTTAAAAACGATATAAAAGAAACATTTTCTAGCATTGTCAGCAAGGAAATTAAATTGAATGTTGAAGTAATTAGAAGTGATGTCAAATCAATCCAGAAAACTTTACAAGAAGCTAGTGACGTTAAAGAAAGAGAAACAAATTTATTGATGTTTCGTTTAGCTGAAAGTGATGATGATCGTTCCAATGTTTTGAAAATTTTAAAGCATTTGACAGGAGATGTTTCTGACAAAAATGTAATCAAAAAAAATGAGACTGGGAAGGAAATGCGAAACTGTCGTTAGACTCATTTTGATAAAGTTAGATTGCGTTTTACTCAGAGACTCAATAATGAGAAATGTATATAAATTCAAGTCGTTAAAAGAATTTTCACATGTTGGACTGAACTATGATTTAACAAAGGATCAGAGGCAGGAATTCAAATCATTTGTTGCTAAAGCTAAAGTTATGGAGCGAGAAGAAAACAATCAAAATTTTTTGTTCAGAGTGAGAGGACAGGTAGGGAGATGGAAGATTGTAAAAATACAGAAAAAACCAGTGCTATTATAAAATATGTCAAGAATTTAGAAATAAATGATAACAATGATAAAGACTGCAACATAATAAATCGTAATTTAACACTAGGTTTATAGATCATATCTGTTTGACAGAAAGCAACAAGTAGTCTTCAATAATGTGTTATCTAATGAAACGGTTTTGACATCAGGAGTGCCACAAGGTTCAGTGCTTGGGCCTATTCTTTTTATCATGTATACCGCTGAAGTTTTCAAAGTAATTGGTAATTTCGGTTTTAAATATCATGCCTATGCTGATGATATTCAGATTATAGTTAGTAATAAGCTAGAATTACTGCAATCTGAAATCAACAAACTTGTAACCTGCCTAAATAACATAGATAATTGGATGTCAAACAATGGTCTTAGATTAAATCAGTAGAAGTCAAAATTTGTTCCAATAGGTACATGGCAGCAGCTGATAAAACTTAATATCGATTCAGTGAAAATAGGAGATGTTAAAATAGAATTTAGTGACAAAGCAACTAATCTGGGTTTCATTCTTGATTCTAGATTATCGATGCATGATCATATAAAGATGATAACAAATTCTTGCTCCGAACAGATTTGAGAACTCTATAAACATCGTAAGTCATTAGATAAATCTGCTATTCATACCTTGGCACAGGCATTGGTTCATTCACGATTGGACTATTGCAATGGTCTGTTTTACGGTTTGCCAGATAGGTCTATTTCTGCAATTCAATCTATTCAGAATAGAGCAGCCAAATTGATTGTTGGAGGTTTCAAATTTAACCATGTTACTCCAATTCTTAAGAGCCTTCATTGGCTTACTATAAAAAAAAGAATTAAATATAAAATATGTATTTTAATGTATAAAACTGTGCATGGCTTGTTACCAAGTTATTTGATAAATAAAATAAAAGAAAAGTCTATAATGATGAGTGATATGAACCTTAGATCAGATGATGGCATTTTGCTGGTTGTACCTGATGTCAATCTGCAGATAGCATCAAGAGATTTTGCAGTATCTGGACCAATGGTTTGGAACAGCTTACCGAGATCTTTTAGAACTAAAGATTTGAAACTTGATGATTTTAAAAAGAAACTTAAAACTTACTTATTTTCGCTTTGATTTTGTTGTTAAGTGAATAATTATTTGTTTGTTACTACCGCCATTGACTGTACTTTTTTCTTTTTTGACTTTGTTTGATTATAGATAGCGCTTTTGAGAACTTTTTGATTTTAATTAGCGCTTATAAATGTTTCATTAATAATAATAATTTATATATTTGTATAAATAATCTCCAAAACATTTTCCAGAATATGCACATTAAAAGTTTACTGTTGAATTTAGCACCGACAAACAGTTCCCATTTTAGATTGCTTGATTGAACAAAAAAACAAACAGTTTGTTACAAAGGTATATGATAAACCTTCTAAGTCAGGCCAGGTGCTCAATAATAATTCGGATTGTCCAGACCGTTATAAGGACACTTTTGTGTTTAATTTCGTCCAACGTGCTTACAAAATTTCATCCGATACTAATATTTTTCATATAGTATTGAAAAGAATCAAACAATTTCTAATCGACAACAACTATTCCAATAAAATAATTGATAGTACCACCTCTAAATATCTATTCAAAATCAATGCTAAAACTCCAACTACATCTCCACACTTACCAACGAAAACAACAATCTCGTTACACTACTCAAATCAAATGCAGAACAGCTATAAAGCAAATGCGTCATCAAATCCAATATTTCGATCTGTGACAACAAAAATTGATTCAAATTAATAATAAATTATAACACTAATCGCTCATCCAACCTCATCATAAAAAACAGCAACAATCGAAATTCAACTACACTGAAGAAGACGAATCTCATGTACCGATTTACATGCCCTATGCCACACAGTGTTGTGGAAAGTTACATCGGTCACTCGCGTATTATGGGCTCGTGTTAAGAATAAGACACATAAACTTATTTCTTATAAAACATGCAGTTGATTCAGTTATCATATCATTAACATATTTTATGAACATTTTTCTAGAATCAACCGACTAAACTAAATTTTAAAAAAAATTCTGATATTTAAATCAGATAGCAAACATTCAGCTTCAAACTATTTCCTTATTTTCTTGTTTGTCAAGATTTAAAAAAAAAATGGTACACAACCAGTTATCAAAATTCGCAAAATTCGTCCAAAAAAATATCATGGCACATCATCAATATGATTTTTGCGGTAAATCTTCCAGTGAGCTGGCTATTCTTAATGTATGTACTTACAAAATCAGAAACGTGGAAAATCCAAAGTTTACATCAGGCGTGTATATTAAGTTTAGTAAAACATTTGATTCATTTAGTCATGGAATACTTCGGACAAGCTTTCAAATTATGGTGTCAGAGGCTTTGCCTTAAAATGGATGGAAAGTTATTTACCGTCAAGAGAGCATTATGTACAAATTGTTGACATAAAGTTGATGTGCTTGTAGAGTCTCACAGGGTTTCATGGTCCATCTTGCAATTTTAATTATCCAATATTTATATCAATGACGTCATAGAAACATCCGAAGTCTTAAAATTTGTTTTATAAGCAGAAGATTCGTCTCACACTAATATAAATGAATTAAACAAACTAATGTCGGCAAAAATTTTAACAATTTTGACTGGATTATTTGCAACAAATTACAAATGAATGTGAAAAAACCTGTTCAATACATTTTGGCTCCAAAATTAGTATTAATCGCCACACACTAATAATTAGCCTCAACAATAATGTCATTGATAATGTTAGTTCAACTAAATTTCTTGGTATAATCATATTTAAAAATTTATCCTGGCTTGATCATATTCTATATATTTCCTATAAGATTTCTAAAAGTATTGGCATAATATTCAGTTTAAAAATCAAAATGCCAATTTGTATACTTCGCACGTTGTACAATTCATTGATTCATCCATATTTATCATATTGTATTTTCATATGGGGCAACTTTTCACCTGCTCACTTGAAACATTTGATTTTATACTAGAATCGCTTTCAGCGTGCACTTTTCAAGATAAATGAGCATGACCACGTTAGTCATTTGTATAAAGAAGCCAACAGTTTACAAATCTATGACATTTATTTTTATAATACATCAATTATATTTGTTAAATGGGTGGACCATGAATGTCACTCAATTTTTTTTTATAATTTAATCAATGCACATCCAACAACTTTTGACCTAAGAACTAAGACCCAACCTAAGACTTATTTTGACTATTCCAAAATGTAGAATTTTTCTTTTTATTAACCCATTCTTAACAATTAGTATTATATTATATAATTTTGGCCTAATTTGCAAATATTCATCAATACACATTTACAAGATATCCCCTAAATACTTGATAACACATGATCATTATAAAAATTTTATTTAAAATTGTTCAGTATTATAAATTCAGTCAAACATCCCTGTAACGAATTGGATAGTTTCAGAAAAAAATTCGTTTTATAGAAATTTCGTTATATAGAATTTGTTCGGGGAAAAACTCTATATTGCATAAAAGATGTTTAAATGCTATATATTAATATATAGCATATATATATATAGGTGTTTTTCGGTGGTTTTTGGAGTGGTTTGTGGCGGTGTTTGGAGTGTGTTGTGTGTTTCACCTAGACATAGACTATTTTCCTCAGCCAATCAAATGTCAGCTGCAAATTGACCTAATAAATCCTTATCAATGAACTTAACGCACATGTTCACAATCGCCTTCCTGAACTAATTAGCTTTCAGTTGTAATTAACCTAGCTTCGCCTGTCAACAGTTACAAAATTCTTTCTCAAATATAATGCCTATCGACATTATAAACATATGTACATAGTGCGGGCTTTTACCTATCAACATAGTTAACTTATGTACATAGTCACATCTGGTCGGTTACAACTAAATTATTCAATGCCTCACGTGCATTTGTCAGAAAATTACAGACTATCCAAAATAAAACTGCTAGACTTATATTTAATAAACCTCCTTGTTTTAGTTCTTCCATTTTCTTTCCAATGCTTCATTGGCTTCCAATTTCCGCTCGAATCATCTTCAAAATTGCAGTCCTTACTTTCAAAACCTTTTTATTAAAATCCCCAACATATCTATACGGCCTCATATCTAGACATGAACATACTAGATCACTCCGCAGCAGCTCAACAGATTTCTTAAACATTCCCGTTGCCGGATCCCGCCTGGCTGGCCGCGGTTTTCGTCACGCTGCTCCGTATGTCTGGAATGAGTTATCTCCTGAGTTAAGACAATGTTCCTCGTTGAGTTTTTTCAAAAAGGGGATAAAGACTCATCTTTTTAACAAGGGCACCGGGCGCCTCTGAAGCAGCTGTGCGAATGGGCGCTTCATAAATGTTTATATTATTATTATTATTTATAATAAAAAACAATCGCCTAATCATTTATTTCGATAGCAGAAAGTAATAATACATGGTGTTTTTGTAAAAATACAATTTTTATAGTGAAAATTATTCTTTGTTCCATGCAACGATGATTACGATTCCATTGAAATTAATCGAAGTAGAATTTGCAAAAATTAGATGAACATTATCTCATATCAATTCCTAGAATGTTTGCTGGTTGGATATTTCTTTTAACTTTTATTAATTTCGTTAGTTATAGATAAATTATTTTCGTTCTTTAGAAACGGTTTTATATGTAAAATTTCAAGGTACATAAAAAAACCCGTTATATAGAGACTTTCAATGAATAGAAGTTCGCTATAAGAAGGTCAGATTGTATATGCATGAGTGACATGCTCCGTATTGTGATGTGTGTTTGCATTAATATGTTTGTTTGGGCAAATGCTCCTGTATTCAATAATAACCAGGTTTAGTTTTATTTTATTTTGTCGTTTAAATAAATTTTCCAGCAGTTTTAGTAGTATCTATCTAGAAGTAATAAAATTTATATTTAATTAGGTTTTTGAAGTTAAAATTGAAGTTATAATTGAAATTTTTTTTTGATGAATTCCTTTAACGAATACAAATTCAAAGCAACATTTTTTTAGTTTTCAACTATAAAATCTTACCAGAAAGGCAGCAATTATCAAAATATTACTAAACATGTAATTTTATTATTAATATAATTGTAAAAATATTAAACTTACATAACCAAGGTTTCTAAATGAACAAGTCCAATAACATCATCCATATTATCATCCCGATTGTTGTTTATCAATTCGTTGTTTTCGTGCTCAGGATTTACAATTGAATTATGCTGACCAAACATGTCGTCAACATTGGGAAGATTTTCATTAAGTGAAGTGTCGGAAAAATAAATTGAATAAGTAATTGGGTCAAATGACAGAGAAGTCAAGCCGTTAAACCGGATGTTGTTGATTTTTTCAAAACTATCAGATCCTATATTATCAATTATCAGACGTGTAAGAAATGTATTGCTTGCTAAATATATGGCAGGAACGTGAACATCAGCTAAAAGTTTTGTCAACGATCCAAATTTAAAAATTTATATAAGTAAAATATGTTATCATTAAAATGTTGGCCTACTTGTTTACGAGCAAATGTCAAAATTTATCAACAGGCGCACTCACTTGAACATGTTTTCCCATCAGGTGATAAAACTCGTCCATGTCTGCACGTGCATTTATACTGATTGTGGGCGGTTCGTTGGCAAACGTCGCTGCAAACCAACCTCAACTGACCATTTTGATGATAAAAGCAAGGTGAAAAACCTTTATTTCATGAAGCAAATTATTTATTAAGTTATTAAACTTACTGCAAAATCTTTGTTCAAAAGCTTACATGTTTAACAACGATATTTCTGAGATCTAATTTAATCTGGCAATCAGTATTTAAACGCAAAATCATTTTCTGTTTACTAGCATTAATTTGTTTAACGTGCCAACTAACTAGAGTTGTTCTATTTTAAATAACATACCAAAAATGGTTTAAAACCATAATACTGTAGTACAAACTTTTGGTATTGTTATAATATTTACATAAAACGCAGTGCTGTAGATCGTTGAATTGGCAACGCAAATCTGTAAATTGTTATATTTGCAACGCAGTGCGGTAGTCTGTTGAATTTGCGTTGTTGAAATGGAAATAAAAAATGTTCAAGTAATTAAAGGTAAGAAAATCTTTGATGTATTTTGTTTATTATCCAACACTGATTCATATTATTTTTGTATTACATTTGGTGATTAATATAAAACCCAAAGCCGAAAGAACAAAAAAGACGATACCATCGTCCACAATTTATTAAATGAGTGTCTGAAAATGTAAAACATGATTAAAATCACCATGTTTAATTTTAATTTAATTTGTGATGGGAAGGGAAGATTTTCATAAGTTGGCGACAATCTTTTGCTTCTGGTTATTCATTTTATTCATCTTTATGGGGTCAGTTTAACACCAGAGGTTTAATGATTTAATTATCCTTTAATTTTCTATAACCTCTTCATAGTTTTACAGTAAAAAATGTTATAATATGGCAAACAAAAAATGCTGAAATATGTTACAGATTCTGCAATGTTTTTCTGTTCTATGGTCTATGGAGGAAATGGATCCGCCATTGTGTAATAATATTATTAATTTGCAAGTACTGGCCGATAATATAATTATTGTTTTTATAATTGTGAATATTTAATAAATGTAAAATTTATCAATTAAAATAACATTTTTAACGTAAAATATTTAACATTCAGCCAGCAATTTTGAAGGTATAATTAATATAAACATTGTTATAAAATGTAGCAATATATAAATTAGAGACCGACCGAAGGTCCAGCTTCAGCCAGTACCAAATAATCTTGTTTCGGCCGAAGTTTCAGCCAAAACTTATTTTATATAATTTTTAAATTTTGAATTTTTAAACAATAATTTCTAAAATAATAAGTCCATTAAGATTTGCGTTTTCAACTAAAAAAGTAGTTAAGTTGAATACATTAAATTACGTTAGTGGTAGATTCAGCTGAATTAAAAAAAACGGATTTGTACATTTATTACATTTTATAATATATTGTGGTAACAGGACGTTTCACTTCCTGTCACTTTCGCTCTCAAGACAATTCGCCCCTTATAAGTTTAACGATAGATGTATTGCCTATATTATATAATATCATAATACCATTTATAATTGTATTTTTTACAAATGCATTGTCACTATTTAACGCAATGAAAAATTTATTTAGAGCGTTGCTACTATATATACACATCGAAAAAGTATAAAATTAACATACATACATACATACATACATACATACAAACAAACAAACAAACATGAGCAAACATACACAACAACACACATTAACACATTTTTTATTTTTACAAACTCAGCATGGTAATTAATTTACAGTCATTTTGCTTTAACCTGGGTGAGTGCTATAACCAATGCAACTATCAACAACATTAGCATTATAACCATTGATTATTATTATTATTATTATTATTATAAAAATGCTTATGATGATGATAATTATGATTATGGTATTTAATACTTAAGTAATTATGATGATATCAATGGTTACAATATTGGAAACGACTATGATGACGATAACTGTGATGTTGTTGATTGCGATAGTAAAAATTAAGAAACAGTTCAATAACTATTACGATAATAACAATGATGATAATGATCATGATGATGGTAATGATTATGAAAACGAAAATTATAATGTTGATTATGGTGATTGGTTTAATGATGATGATAATAATAATGATCATGACGAGTGAAATGCAAATAGTGATGGTGATAGTAGACATTAAGTAATAGTTTAATAACGATGATGATGATAATGATTGTGATAATTATGATGATGGCAATTGTGACATTAATGATGGTGATTGCAAAAATTAATTAAGTGTAAAGAATTTTTCATAAAGTAATAAAATTATGTTAATAGTAATGTTGATAATAATAATAAACCATTCCCAAACGAACTTAGTTGGCATTATATTGAGTTTGCCAACATGCCATTCTTACCAAAATTTTAAAAATAATAATAATAACAAGAACAACAATTTTATTATTCTTTTATTATATAAGTATGCAAACGGTGTGACGAACAAGAATTGAGCGCTTAGCGCTTTTTAGTTCAGAACCGTGTGGTAAATAGTTGAACCGGGTTTTTTAGTGGTAGTTAATTTTTGCTAAAGGTGATTTGAAGGACGTGGGCCATATTTTAATTTTGGAGTTTAAAAACTAACTTTTTTTTGCGCCGACATATTGCCGTTTATTAATAAAGTTATTAAAAAAACCCAAAACGTTGTAGAGTCATTTTTTTGTCATAGCATAAAGAACTCGTAGCACATGGAAAGTATATCAAGAGCTTAAAAACAATCAATTTAATAGACCAGCTAATTCAGAAGAATTAGTTCGAAGGCAGCAGCTTAAAAACAAATACAAACAGAAAAGAAAGGTAAGAGAGGACATTGTGGAAGCCTTTCAACAAATCGTTGATGACGGGTAAAATACCATCAAATTGGAAAGATGCAACCATAGTGCCACTCTTCAAGAAAGGAGATAGTTGCTATCTTATATCTATAGTTGCCAGAAAATTATAGACCAATTAGCCTTACAAGCACTGCATGCAAGGTACTCAAAAAAATAATTAAAAAGATAATTGTGAACAACTTGGCAAAAAATAATATCATACACAAAAGCCAACATGGATTTATGGAGAGGCTTTAGTGCCTAACAATTTTACTTGACATTTTTGAAGAGATTTAGAAACTATCGCTTTCCGAATAACAAATTACCAACGTTTATCGCAAATACAATAAATATACAACGCAGAGTCAAATATCAAATATCGCTTTTGACGCTAACAATCGCTTTCTAAAATCAAATATTCAATAACAACCATTTAATATCTCGTATGCATTTATATACCCGTTTTACCGACGCTCGCCGTCAGAAGGTACTAGCTACTTTTCGAATTATGCGTTCGTAGCGACACTAGGACCTCTAGCAAATATATTTGTGACGGTTATAACAATATGTTATTATTAATGCACCCCTTTAGCACAGCTTAATGTTAAGATTTTATAAAAATTTGAAATTAAATTCTTATTAAACTAGTGTTTTTAGATTAAACATATTTTCAGTTTAATTGCCAATCATGAGTTTAGTTTTTATCACATCTCTATTTTCAAAAAATTATAAAAAAACACCGGAAAAACAATTATTATCATTTTCCCTACTGTAAAATTTTTAATTTTAATCTACAGCATTTTTACCTTTTATAAGAATATATATTAGTAAAAGTTTTTAAGATTATTGAAAATATTTCATATAAAAATTACTTCATTAGAATGGACACCATTGGCGTCTGGAGCTCTCAAAATGAGGTTTATTCTAGATCAAAACCAATTGCTTGTTGAAACAAATGCTGTTATAAATATTTTTTAAACAGCTTGATGTCTGAAAGATAAAGACTTTCCACAAAGAAAAACAAAAGCTTATAAGTCCAGGCTTGCACAATAATGCACAATACTAATTTCCGCAGATGCTGGTCAAATTGTCATGAAATACTGTTAACAGCATTAGTGCTGTTCTGATCAAAAACATATTGGCCTATAGGCGGATTGGAGCAGTTTGGATATTGTGAGTAAATTTTAAATTGAGTTTGAATTAGTTTGAAGGAACAGTGGGATTGAAATTGGGTTTTTTGAGTGAAGATGAAACAAAGGCAGTTTTGAATAAAGTAGAAATAGTGCTTGATGGCAAAGGATAAGTTGGCAAATTTTACATAGATTGGTGCAAAAATATAGCAAATTGTTTAAAGAGGTTGTCAAACAGAGAACTTTTATTTGACAAGAGTCTAATAAGATGTAAAATTTCAGAATTAGAGACATTCGAAGAAGATTCAAAAGAGAAGTCAAGATATGGGCAAGTTTTAAACGAAGAATGTTTGGATCTGCAACACAGAAGCGATGAATTGATGAATAGTATCTGTTTTGATTTTAAATGTTTAGTAAATGAAATTGCAAAAGTTTTGAATTTGTCGATTGAGGATGAGTGTTAAAAAGATTATAAAGTGATTGTTAAAACTGGCAAAGATTGTTGGATTATCTGAGCTCGTCCTCAATTGAATCTGCTCTTGATCTCATGATTGACATCCTAGAAGCTTCTTGGCAATCCTATATTTTTACCTAGTCTTGGCAGAACATCTTCGGCGGCCAATTCTGATTGATGTACTTTTAAGTTTTTAAGTATATTGTTAAAAGAGATTGATACGGTCGTTGTATTAATCATCGGTATCGAAGTTGTACAAAAAACTTCGGTCACGAAAACATCAACAATGTCAAGTGACGATGGTCGGGGGTTGTTAAGACGATGAGCCTGTGATCGGAAAAAGCATCACTGACAGTGACTGTTGTCGACGATGTTGCGATGAGTATACGAGAGGATGAGATCAAGGATGCTGCTGCGATAGTATGTTGATGGATGCACATGTTGGGTCAAAACGAGGTAGTCAAACACTGTTATTAGTTGTTGATCACTGTCGATTTGTTCACCATGGGTGTTGAAATCTCCGCATACAATAAATGGAAAGTCTAAAGTGATGATTACTTTTATGTAGTCATTGGACTGGTTGATAAAATTGGTTAAAACCTGTCCTGGAGGTCTGTAGATAAAGGAAACTATGAATGATGACAAAGTAAGCCGGGTAATTTTGAAAGAGTCAGCTTAGGAGAAATGAGCGATATTAAAGTTAACAGTTTGCTGAAATGATGAAAATTTTTTAACTATAAAATTATGGCAAATTACAACTATTAATTTAAAAAAAAGTTACGTAAATTCAAAACATTTTGCAACAGCAGGCAATTACCAAGCAAATATCCTTAAACACGTTAAAGGCAAACATCTGCCGCAAATAAGATAAATATTTTTCAAAAGTTTGTACTAAAGTAAACAATATCAATCGAATTATTCAAAATTTGCAAATAGATATAATATAAAGTAATAATTGAATAAATATTTAAAAAAGAATAACTTTTAATCTGTAAAGATGGATGAAAGAGAAGAAACGCATTGACCAGTTGCTCAAATCTTTCAACTAATTTCGGCGCTGACGTGTAAATCTGATAAAATTCATCAAATAAATTAGTTAACGGATTAAAAACTGTCAGTTTTATTTTAATATTAAACAAGGTTTGAAAACAAAAAAATTCTAAATATAAAGTAATATATGTATAAAACAAAAAACCTGGTGCTTGTTTTGATAGAACAATTGACAATTACTATGAGAACTGTAGGAGCTCTGACTGGCATCATTATGTAACCAAAAAATGTAATCTTCAAAAATTTCCAGTGCCAAAGCATGTTTATGAAATTGTTGATAAACACATGTTAAATTTGAAAGAGTTTGTCCTAGGGTTTGGACGCTATCATCATCTAATATCCAAGTCAGTGTGTCGGTCAGGGGATCAACGCGCAGATTTTTAACTAACGAATGTGGCGGTATCTTTACTAGGGAAGTAGCGTTACTAAGATCGAAGTTCGACTGGAAAACGTAGGTGAATGTGCTCCAATATATAAGTCTGACAAGTGAAAAATTTATATGGTTATAATTGCAGAATAATTAAAAAAGTAAATTTTGCTTATTTTGATTTAATTAAATACTGGTTATTAACATGTTCGCGATGTGAATGGTTCTACCCACTTTTGATCAAGTTAATTCTGCCATGTGATCAAAAAAATTCAATAAAAAACAAAAAAAAAATTTTGAATTAATTTTAAAAAACATGAAAAATTATATGAAAATTAGATAAACCGATTTTAAGCAGCGTTTTAATTGACTTGAAATAAAATTTAATTATTCACCTGTTTGCTGGGTCAACGACGAATGAAACAATTTTTTCTTGTTTTTGGAAGATTAAATTTCTGCAAGACTGATTTTTTTGTTTATTTTTTTTATAAAATATCAATAGATTTGGTTTATATATTCAAAGCAAAATAATTTAATTTTCACTAACAAAACGTTGAAACGAATAATAAAATGTTTGAGCTTTGTAAACGTTGATTCTTGGAAATGTTAATAAATTATACAATATGTTTATTGACATGACTGGTAGAAGTTAATTTTGCTGTAAAATTATGTTAAGACAAACTGAAAAATCAAGTGCTTTTGCAAATCTCGCATTTATACAAAACACTTGCATTTTCATTTCAATGGTTGAGCTATTCAAAAATGATTGTGAGATTTTGTAATGTTCAACGAAAAGTGGGTATGCTATCGGTGGCGGATTAACCATTTAGCCGCCTAGAGGCATTCGTAATTTGCAGCCCCAAATTTGTAATACAATACAATACAATTTTATTTGACCCAAAAGAAGTCAAAAGTTCAGGATGACTGTAAGGAGCCCCCGAGGGACTCATCGAGCACAGCCATCTCAACAAAAAGTTATAAATATATCAAATGAATGTTATTTTATTTATAAAAAAAAAGTTTAACGAATTTAACTACAAAGATACGTATATAGATCAATTAAATTTTAATTAATTGTTACTAATGATCAAAGATAAATAAAAAACAACAATCATTCATACCACAATACCATATAGATATACAAACATAAATATTCGTCAAAAACATGTTCATATATATATTCTTTCAATATATATATATATATATATATATATATATATATATATATATATATATATATATATATATATATGTATATATATATATATATATATTGAAAAAATGTATATATATATATATGTATATATATATATACATATGCTGGTAATAGACCATAATTTTTACAATATTCTATAATTTCTACCGAATGTTTGGCGTTAATATGTTTGTAGTTCGTTTTTTCAATTTTTCTCACTAAAGTTTTTTGGTGAACGTTTAGTTTATTAAAATTCAAAATAAACTTATTTTCCGAATTCATGCTGCAAATAAGGCCATATTTCGATTCCGAATAAATCATCATCAGTGCTTTCTGCTGTTTATATAGGGAAATAATGACTTTGTCAAAATGAACTTAGATGGAGATTGACTTTGTCAAAATGAACTTAGATGGAAATTAGGTGTCAGGTTTCTTTATTGGCTGGTCATCTTCTTTGGTCTCCTTTTCTTCATCGATAGCATCATATTCTTTTTTGTCACTATTTACAATGCTAGTTTTTATTACTTCTTTGTTTTCGTTGTTGGTTAAGCGCCGGGTTGGAAGTGAGGTTGTCACTTTTTGTTGTATATTTATTTTTGATTTATTGATGTCAATAAGGACTGTTTCTGCAAGTTTAAGATGCGTGTATTGATGTCAATTAGGACTGCTTCTGCAATTTTAAGATGCGTGTATTGATGTCAATTAGGACTGCTTTTGCAATTTTAAGATGCGTGTGTTGATGTCAATTAGGACTGCTTCTGCAATTTTAAGATGCGTGTATTGATGTCAGTTAGGACTGCTTCTGCAATTTATATATACACTCCAATTACACAATTATACACAACTATATACACATTTTCATACCTTTATGTCTACCTTTATGCCTATAATCGTTCTTGCACAAACACATTCATTCCCAAACAAACATAATCTCTTCCATTCATATATAATCCTATCCACGCATACCTTAATATCCTAATCATACATGATTCATACCCGTCCTACATATTTGTACCCACTTATACCTATTGAAACATGCATAGACCCACTTTATATACGCATGTACACAGATAAAATATATAAATACACTAATGGATCAATGTTTGTTAACAAAAATTATGTTTCCATATGTTTAACAAAATTCCATAAATCAACAATACAATATGGTTTATTTGATCTCAATAAATATATACACACTTGCCGCATCATGGAAATCGCAGAAATGCTCGAGCGTAAAAGGATTGATATCTGCTACCTTCAGAAGACCCGATGGAAATCGAATGGTGTTTGTCATGTCAACTCAGACAAAGAAAAATATAAACTATACTGGAATGGTCTAAAGACGGCCAAAAATGGTGTTGGGATTTTTGTCAGAGAACTGCTAGCCCAAGAAGTACTGGATATTAAAAAGATTAATTGACGTCTCATGTGGATCAAGTTTCGCCTAGAAAAGCAAACAATGATTATTTGTTCTGCATACGCACCACATACAGGCGAATCGGAAGAGATGAAAAATGACTTCTGGGCTGCGTTCTCTGATACCATCTCAAAAATACCAAAATCTGAAACAATCCTGATTAAAGGCGATCTCAATGGCCACGTTGGAAAGAAAACAGATGGCTTTGACAATGTACATGGCGGTTTTTGCTATGGAGAACGGAATGACGATGGCAACCGCACCGCATCCTTGAGTTTGCTGAAAGTCACGGGTTTTGTTTACTGAACACATATTTAGAAATAGGTTGGAACATCTCAAAACGTACAAAAGTGAACCATCAGCCATGCAAATCGCTTTCTTCGCTGTAAAGCAACAACACCGAAGGCTATTCAAAAAAAAAATGTACTTGGCGAATCATGTGTCGCCGAACATAGACTTTTTGTGGCAAACCTGGTTATTGAACTGTCACAATATAAGTCTAAACAAACGCATAGGAGAATCAAACGTGGAAACTGAAAAGCAAAATTCATCGAGAAAAATTCCAACAGATTGTCGCCACACAGTTAGACCACCAATCGCAATCCAGTACAGATTGTTGTACATACAAAACCGTTTTAATAAACGCTGCAACTACTGTTTGTGGGAAAACTAGTACAAAATGTCAGCATGAACGGGACACTTGGTGGTGGAATGACAGTGTACAAAATGCAATAGCTGAAAAGAAAGCTACATACAAGCAATGGTAAAAATCAAATTCTGTTGATGACCATAAAATTTTCCGTGAGAAGAACATCTATGGAAAACATCAAGTCGCACTGTATCGGACAAATCAGTGCAGAGAGTGGCTCACCAAAAGTAAAGGTGAACAAATGAAATCTCTGTATCGTATAGCAAAACAAGCAAAACGTAAGAAAAAAAACATAGTTGGTGCCTCATATATCAAAAACGACAAAAATGAGATGGTTCTTGAACAAGATGAGATCAAGCTACAGAGGAAAGAATACTTAAACTGTCTGTTAAATGAAACAAATCCCATCAATGTCAATTTTGACGCTCCACCCATCGAAGGTCCAATTCCAAACATCACTGTAGAGGAGCTTACAGAAGTTCTAAAATCTATGAAGGATGGAAAAGCAGCAGAGCCCTCTGGACTCACAAATGACATTATTAAAGCATCTCGGACTGCAGCAATACAAACGTTACTAAAACTTTGCCGTGAAGAAGTCTGTAGAAATTGCTCAATGCTGACTGAATGGAACTATAGCCTGACAGTTCCGCAATACAAAGGCAAATGTGATCCATTGAACTGTTCATCATATCGGGATATACGTCTGTTAAAACACTCCCTAAAAATTGTCGAGAAAATCATTGAGAGAAGATTAACGTCGTGCATCACAATCGGAAATTATCAATTTGTTATCCCAGCGGGGAAATCAACTATTGATGCAATTCACATCCATCGGCAACTGCAAGAGAAGTACCTCGCAAAGCATCAACAACTATCACACATTTTTGTAGACCTTGAAAATGCATTTGATTGATTTCCCCGTGAAGCAATCAGGTGGAGTCAACGTTGACAACTCATTCCAGAATATCTTGTTCGACTTGGGATGGAAATGTACACAAATACTAAGATTTTTGTCAGCACAACGGTTGGAAACACAGATGCATTTGATATGAGCGTTGGAGTTTACCAAGGCTTGATTTTCAGTCCACTGCTATTTATAACTGTGATGGAAGAAATCACAAAACTGAATAAATGGCATCTCCTTGCCTCTATATTGATTGGGCGTGACATTCCACTACCACTACGATCAAGACTTTATAAACCTGTAATACGTTGGGTGTTGTTATGTGGTGCAGAAACATGGCCAATGACAACCAAACTGGAACAAAAACTTCAGCAAACAGAAAATGTTCCGATGGATGCAACGAATAAGTCTGAAAGACCACATCAAATCTACCAAAATCCTGCGTCGTGCTAGTTTAGATGATATAAAGGACGAATGCCGGCAACACCCTCTGCTCTCTGTTGCTATAACCATTGTTGATTAAAACTTGTTTAACTCCTTGCAATTCTGCATAAATCAGTTGACAAGTGTAGCAATGATTTAAATGAAATGATACAACTGATCGTCTAATTTGGCGCAAAAGTTGATGGCAAAGAAAACAACGTTTTACCTTGGGAAACTGGGTCCCTGGACGCTAAACGAAAATTGAAAAAAAAAATAAATATATACTCACACGAAATACATGCACATGCATACAATCAAGCAAATATTTATCATAGTTCCTAAGTTTAATGCAACAAAATATTAACTGTTATCTCTTCAGTTACCACCAATCACTTCATAACTTTAAAAAACAAAGTAAGACATAGTGTTAATTATATTCACAATTCATTTAAAAAAACACAATATAAATTAGTATATGTACATTTGCTACACATCTACCCACATATACACCCATAATCAAATAAATAGATGTGTACGATGTTTACAATTTTTGACACATTATCTGTCCACAAGTTCAACTAAATGTATAAGCATTTCACTTTTCTTATCCAATCATTCAATACAGTCATGCACATAACCATCATAATCATCATCATAACTTATACACTCAGTTAATCTATCACCTGTCAACATAGCATCATGAGTAGACAAAAAATAGAATACAAGCAGCATAGTTCTAATTTATAATTAAAAATAGATATAGTAATATAATTAAAAACAAAATTGTTATTATAACCAACATCATCTATTATTCTTAAGAACCAGATCATCATCATCAATACCTTTCCTACCAACATCATCATCACCATGACCATAATCATTATCAAAACTATCATCAACCTCATCACCACCATTATTTTCATGACCATCATCACCAATACAATCATCATCTTCATCATCGCAACCACCACTCACCATCACCACTATAATCATTGCCGCCGCCCCGTCATCATCATCACCCCCACCACCAACATCACCCTAACCATAATCACCACTTCCCTCGTTAAAATCATAATAATTTAAGAAAACTAAACTCAATAGCTGCTAAAAGAAATTGTCGTCGTATGGAGCGTCACTACAAACATGAAAAATCAGCGCTCAACTTCGTCCACTACAAAAATGCAAAACGTGCTGCTCGTGACGCCATTATGAGGTCTAGGATCGATTCTATTAAGGACACTCTTAACAACTGAAGCAACTCTCGTGATCTCTGGCATTCTCTTAACAAAATTCTTTAAAACGCTCAGATAATCATTTTTCTGATGCTGAATCTCCTATTTTTGTATCTTCTTTTGCTAACTTTTTCAAGGACTAA